CGCTGCAGCTCGCCTATCTCGCCTGGCTGCCACTCAATAGCTTGGATATTTGCTTGTGCAGCCGTACGAGCATATCCTCAATTAAAGCTCGAAATGGGACGACAAGAATCGTTACGCTTAGCCGATCTATCTGCTGGCTACGATCAAGGATAGCAGCTGTAAAAGGTAGAAGTGTTTTGCCTCCCCCTGTAGGTAGAACAACGATAAGAGGACTCACGCCTTGTACGACGGCGTCTAGCCCTCGCTTCTGATCTGGCGATCTATAGGTAACTAGCTGATTAGTAGGGATACATAGTACCTGGCGAACAGCATCTGTGAGCTGCTTCTCTGTCGTCGTACGCGTGTTGGCCTGGTACGCCTGCGTTAGCTTAGCTCTCTTCGCTTCTGGCTGCTGCGTAGTCTCGTGCTCGGGCTGAGGCTGGAGCTGCGGCTGTAGCCGTGTCGAGTAGTCTGGGCAGCTTAGTGCCTGTTTTCGCTTTCTCTCTTGCTCTCCTACCAACCCTACGCCTTCTGCTGCCTTTGCTGATAGCCCAAGAAACGCGTACCACGCTAAGCTTAGCGTACGAAATACGTCAATCGATCGTGGATTCAGCCCTTGAACGATATCTGCTTGCACTGCGTACGCTACTATACCTATCGCTGTAGATCGCCCGTTCTGCAGCTCTAGTGGATCTTCTCCATCTTCATCTTCGTCCGAGCTAACGTCTCCATTACCACTAGCACCAGCAGCTCTAGATCGCCCGTCTAGCTGCTTGTTGTAGCCTGCAGCAAAGCGCTCCCCTACTACCTCTCGCCCAATCCCAACAGCTACTTGCCGATACTCAGCTGTTGTTAGCCGCGATCCTAGCCGCTCTGCTGTCTCTGCCGTCATCGTACGTGTAAGCCGATCTGTATCCCACGGCCCGCTGTCGTTCGCCCACAGATAGTCACTCACCGACGCAGTAGCTGCCTTGCCCTGGCTGCTAAGGAGCATCGCGCGTACGGGCCGTAGATAGAGCAGATACGCCGTGACTAGCTGGCCCACTGCCTTAGGCAGAAACCGCGCGACTACCTTAGGCTTATCCCACTGCGATTGCGTCTTATGATAGCGAGTAATTACTGAGACTTGGCCGTCCATAACGTAGAGATTACGGTCTTGTAGCACGCCGTTGCGCCAGCGTACGGAGAGCAGCTCTGGCCCACGAGCTGGCTGGCCGCCTGTAATATGGATAGCAAGGCAAAGAAGCTCTAGAAAACGATTGATCTGTTTGAGATAGCGTTGGACGGCTCGAGGTCTCCACTCCATGCTCTGACTTAGTAGATCGCTGCTGCTCGTTGATAGCTGCTCTGGCTGCTCTGGCTGCTCTCGCTGCTCTGGCTGCTCTCGCTGCTCTAGCTGCTCTCGCTGCTCTCGCTGCTCTGGCTGCTCTGGCTGCTCTCGCTGCAGTCCCACGCGCTGTTGATAGAGCTTCTGCGCCCCAGCTACTCTAGCCAATCGATCTAGCACCCACGCTTGCCCTTGCTGTAGTTGCGATGGTGACAAGTAGCACACCCCACGCTGCCGGATAGAAACGTCGTCTTGTATCTCAGCTAGCCTAGTCGTCGGCCGATCCTCGTGCTCGCTCATCCACAGCAGCTCTTCCCACAGCACCCGTTCTGCCTCAGCGACGACGCCCTGCGCAAGCTCGCGGAACTGCTGCAGCACGATAGGCCGGCCTTTGATATAGAACGTCTGTCGATCTGTAGACCACCACATGCTGCCAGCGATGGTGCCAGGCGTACGCAGGGCGATAAACTTAGCGTATGCTAGTAAACTTAGCATAGTACTCATCGGGCTATACGAGCCGTCTACTAGATAGCGAGCACGCTGCTTAAGAAAGCTACTCGTCTCAGCAGCACCTTGCTCAGCCCGCTCATCTGCTGGTAGAAAGAACTCTATCGCTAATACGCGTACGCAGTAGACGAGAGAGCCAAGCATAGACGAGAACTCGGCAGCTGTACGTAGACGGCTGGTCTCTGGATGGATACCAAGAGCAGCAAGAAAATGGACTATCGCGCTGGCAAAGGGCTGCCCGTAGAGCTCCTGGCAGATAAGAGCATAGGATAGGCGTAGCACGTACGTACGCTGCTTAGCTATTGTAGTACTGCTGCTGTCGTACTGGGAGAGGTACTTCCAGAGCCGCTCTGCTGCTAGCTTCTGCTTACTATGCCATGGGAAGAGACGAGCGATGCCGGCGAGCTCTGGCACTGCTGGTGCTGCTGGCACTGCTGGTGCTGCTG